ACAAACTCAGTGTGATTCACGGTGGTATTTTACACAAGACTCCGAGAACTACGCTCGATCTTAGCCAAAAAGTCGAGAAGCGATGAGACTCAGAGAATTACATAGTGGTTTTTAAAAAGTTGAATGGTGGGCGCCTGGGTGGCTCAGATGGTTAAGCATCTGCCTTTGGCTCAGGTCATGATCCCAGGGTCCTGGGATCGAGGTCCGCATCGGGCTCCCTGCTCCTTGGGAGCCTGCTTCTCCCTCTGCCTCTCTCTCTCTCTCTCTCTCTCTCTGTGTGTCTCATGAATAAATAAATAAAATCTTTAAAAAAAAAAAAAAATAAAAATAAAAAGTTGAATGGCACCGATTATTAAGAACAAAGTGACAGTAAAAATTAAAAATGAAGTACTGGACCTCATTGTACTTGGATGTTTGCATTTCCTTAAATCTTATTCTAAACCAAATCTTCTTGACCTGAGATCCAAAGACCCACCCCCCCCACAAAAAAGCCAAAGACCCCCCCACAAAGAGAGAATGGATGAGCCTCAGAAGACCCGTGAGTCTCTTGAAACCACATGCAGTCCTTTACATGGTTGTACATACATGGTTGGTGATGGAAGGAATCTATAGCTCTCATTAGATTCTCAAAGAAATAGGGATCCCCAAAAGGCACATATTTGTGTTATTCATTAGTACTGAAAATTTCCCATGTCAATACAACTATTTCATTTCTACAGGAAAAGTACCATTCATTGGAAAGTATCCTATTTCCTCCTTGACTCAGAGAAGAGCCCCTGGCCTGTGAGAAACTTTTTTTTTTTTGTCCCAGCTCTGTCCTGCTCTGGACTGTGGGAGCTTTAGCCCCGCACCGTGGCCCCCTGGTGGCCTCTATGAGAACTGCAGCCACAGCCCCTGGTTTAGGGGGAACCCATGAGTCCAGATGATCCTGTTGATGACAGGCTAGATGGGCAGTTGGCACATTGAAAGACAACTTTCTAAAGATTATTACTAACTATATAATTCTGTTCATATGCATTAGAAAAAATTTAAGAAGTTGATTTTGAATCATTATCATAATAGGACAGGTAGATTTGGCAAAGAAAAGCCACAATTATACATAAATCACTGAGGTTTGGAAAATAGCGATCTAATTCAACCCTCTCATTTTCTGATGAAGAAAGTGAAGTGTGAAGAAATTAGGAACCTATGCCAGGTCATATAGAGCTGGTTAGGAGAAAAGATGGGACCAGAACTTGGGGCTCCTGACCTATAAGCCATGGTTCTAGCAAGATACTATAAAAGTTCTTGCTGGAGGTGTCAGAAAAAAGGCTGAAGGAGCATTTTCTCTAGGGCAACTGAACCACAGAGTGAAGATTCTCTTTCTCTCTCTCTCTCTCAATAGATATTCATATATATCTTTGTGAACCTATATATAGATACATGCATGTATGATCATATTCATTCATTCAGTGAATATTTATGGAATACCTATTTGGGATCGGCCACTGTTCTGGTCTCCCGGAAGGAATAAAAAGATAAATACAAACACAGTCTTGTCCTTGAGTTCACAGTCTGAAGAGCAGACCGATAATCAAGAACACAGGTTTATTTAAGACCCAAGGCAGGGGTGAGGTAATTGAAGGTGCTCCAGTAATTCGAAGGGGAGATGGTGTGACTTCAGGACACAGCTTCACAAGGATGGTAGCTGAGCTGAGTCTCGAAGAATGAGCAAGAGGTGGTCATGGTGGGGCATGTACAAGATCACAGAATTCAGAAACATTCACAGCATGTAGGTGACTTCTAATGCTTCAGTGTGTGTGGACTATAGGTGTTGGTGATGGCTAGTCAAATTCTGGGCTACTGAGAAGCAGGGCAGAAGCTGGACTGGAAAAGCTTTGAATGTCATGCTAAGTAATCAGCATGGATCTTATCCTGAAGATGCTGAGAGCCACTGGACATGACACAATATTTCCGTCTGTGGCACTGTGGAGGGTGAGTGACAGGGAATAATACTGGAATCAGGAACACCAGCAAGGAGACCACTGCAATAATCCAGGTTAGAAACTCTGAAGGGCACCTGGGTGGCTCAGTTGGCTGAGCACCTGACTCGTGATTTCAGCTCAGGTCACGATCCCAGGGCTGTAAGATCGAGCCCCACATTGGGCTCCATGGAGCCTGCTTAAGATTCTCTCTCTCTCCCTCTGCCCCTTCCCCAACACTTGTGTCTGTGCCACACTCTCTCTCTCTCTCTAAAAAAAAAAAGAAAGAAAGAAACTCTGAGTGACATGAGTAAGCAAAGTGAGTGGGAATGAGATAAGTTTAGACAGTAGGATCAACAATGAAATTGGTGGTAAAGCAAAAAGAGGGGCCACGTATGTCTCAGAGTTCCTACCTGGATAACTGGGTCAATGACATAAGTCACTGAGATCAGGGATATAGGAGAAGGGGTTGACTGGGGAGAAGGACAGCAAATCTAATAAATAGTTTTAAGATAAATTTAGTAAAGGCAAGGATAAAAATATAGTAAATTTTTTAGGATAAGATAACGATAAAGAGATAGTAAAACTCAGTCAAAGTCAGGGAGATGTTCAATAAAAGCCGAATGGTAGACTGGAACTCTGGATAGGGATCAGGGCTAGGGACATAAATTTGAGGAAAATGAGTATGTTAATGGTACCCGAAGCATAGGAGTATTTGAGATCACCCAGAAAGAGAATATATAAAGTAAGAAGACAGGATAGGGTAGAACAGAAGACAGAGGAACATCCGTATCAAGGAGACGGGGAGAGGAAAAGTTGCTGACAAGCGGTTGAGAAGAACGGCCATCAAGGTAGCAAGAAGACTGGGAAAGGGTGAGTCATGAAAGCCTAGGAGGGAGAGAGTCTTAGGAACGAATTTGATTGATTAGAAATTCCAGACCATGCAATGATACAGAGAAAAATAAGAATTGAAAAATGCCCTTTAAATCTAACCTGAGTGAGAATGGGTGATACCGTGTTCATTGTGTCCCATGAGAAACTCAGCCAAGATCATAACTAAAGCATCGATCTCCACTCCAATCACATGCAGGCTAAAGAGACCATCATTGAAAAGCCTTTGCCAGCTCAGGCTTAGGCAACTCAGCGAGCTAGTTCCAAGTCAGGACCCACGCCAGACTCGCCAGCCCTGTGTCCGGGCTCAGCACCCATCTGCTGGGGGTTCTGCATGAGCCCCTTAACCTTTCCTGGGCCAAGTACAAATATAAATACAGATGGCAATGCTGTCGATCTCCATATAGATACAGATATAAAATAGTTCTACCTCCTAGAATCGTCCTGAGGATTAAAAGTCCATTGCAGGAAGACTAGATAAGCAAAATGTGGTCCATCCTCACAATGAAATAGTAACGAAATGAAACAGTACTCAGCCTTCCAAAGGAAGAAAATTCTGACCCATGACACAACATGAATGAAACTTGAGGACATAATGCTCAGTGAAATAAGGACAAATATTGTGTGATTCCACTTACATGAGATCCCTCGAAGAGTCAAATTCAGAGAGACAGAAAGTAGAAAGGTGGTGACCTGGGGCTGGGGGCAGGTTGGGGAGTGGAGAGCTCATGTTTAGTAAGGACAGAGTCTCGGTTTGGGAAGATGACAAGAGTTCTATAGATGGACGGTGGTGACGGTGGCACAACGATGTGGATGAACTTATGTTTCTGACCTGTACGTTTAAAAATGGTGGAAATGGTAACTTGTATGTTACATATACTTTATCACAATAAGAATGAAAAGAAGTAGTTAATTTCTAAAGCACTTGGTAACTGTTATACAAATGTTGTTAAATAAATAGACACACAATACATTGGCAGATGCTGACAATGACCCAAGACGGGAGTGAAGGACAAGAAAGAACCCCAAAGAACAAAAGAAAGAAAGAATCCAGTAGAAAGTCATGTTGGGAAGGACCCCATGCGAGAAAAGGAGAGGAAATGAGGTGATACCTCAATGTCAGATGAAAAAATGAATAGAAACAGGGAGGTGCAATCCAACTGCTCTTTAAGAAGCCCAGTAAAAGTTCACTCAACAGATGTTTATAAGGAAGCACCTGCCAGGGGCCAGGCACTCGGCTACGTGCTACCAGCAAACTGCAGGGCGAGAATATGAGAAAATAATTGGCATCACTGTTAAGACAGGCTGTAGGGAGGCACCAAGAGAGACTGAATGAATGATGCTATGAACACTTAATAGGAATGAGCCAGACAATCAATCTTGTGACTATCGGGGCTCACTGGAAGTTGGAAATAAAATATAATTGCTGTAGCCATGTTTATACCTAAGTAGAAGCAGGCCTGCACTATGATTAGGCTGATAGCATGCGTCACAAACACGTTCCCTTGCAAGCCTTTATCCAGAAGAGAGGCAACAAGCAGGTGGATGGGAGCAGTGGTCTGCAGACTTTTCAGACATGCCAGCGCCTGGGATCCACCCCCAGAGAGCCTGACTTGGTCGGTGTGGCCGGAAGCTGGACATTTAGAAACCCTCCAGGTGATTCAAGCATGCAGCCAGGACTGCGAGCCACTGCATTAGAAAGAGCAGTTGTGCCCTACATGCCACCAATCCTGGGGGACCCCTGAGTAGCAGAAACAGCAAAGGTTGGTCAGGAGCTGGGAGGGAGGGTTGGGAGGAGGGTGTGTTTCCAGCCTTCAGTAGGGGCCACCTGCAGGTCTTACAGGCTCACCGAGCGGCTCCTGACAAGAGCAAACCCACCCCACCACTGAGAGCGTTGGCTTCCCAGGGGAAGCTCAACACCCAGACCCTTGGGGAGGGCCTCTCCCCGTCAATGAGCAGAAATGGCTTCTTATGGGAGTATGACCCACACCAGTCGCTCACTCTGGAAGGAACCCCCCCCACCTGCCCAGCCAACCAAAGGGTGCTCCCCAGGAAAAAGCAGCTGAGGGTCTCCCTAGCTAAGCCACTCCCCGCTCTTCACCATGTGGGAGCCAGGAGAGGAAAGTGAGGGCGATCACAAGTACTCACGGCTGAGTGGCCCTGAGGCGCACTGCGGCTTGGGCCTGTGCGTGCAGGTGGCCCAGGAGGCTGCAGAGGGCCGGCTGCCTGGAAGGAAGCTGGAAGTGCAGGCTGCTCTTCTCTTTCTCCAGTTCTTCCAATCTGTGTCTCAGTGCCTCAGCTGGAAACCCAAAACGTGAGAGGGAGGAGTCAAGGACCATGAAACTCAAAATAGGGAACCCAGCGTCCCAGAGCCCCACCCCCAGCCATTGTCCATCTTAATGACCTAACGCAACAGCCCCTGCATTCATGGCCAGCACCTTCATCTCTCAGTCGGTGCTTTGAAGAATCTTCTTTTTAATGATGGCAGTCTCCCTGCTTTTTGTTCTTCCTCGTATCAGAATGTCCAATTTATGTATTTATATCAAGATCACCCCATAGGAGGACACATATTAATTATTTTTAAAACCATGGTCTTTGCTTGGGAGAAAACTTACTAATTTTGATGAGTTTCATGTCTTCAATTAAAAAATGTCAGTGCCCAAGCTTGGACTTTAAGGACATTTCCTTAGAAACTGCCCATCATTATAATTATTAAAGCCATAAAAGCGATGTTCCAATTCTATTTTACAGATGACCATATATCCACCTCTGTTATAAAGTAGGGGTCCTATTATTTTTTTAATGAACTTAAGTTTCCCTAGGACAAGGTACAAATACAGAATCACTGTAAAACAATTTTTCTATAAAAAAGTAAACTTTGGAGATTGGAATCCCTCAAAAAGAACTTACCTTCATAACCAAACATCTAAAGGATGGGAAAGTCTCCCATAAAGCCATTTTTGCAGAAATATAAGGACTAGATTTAAAAATACCAACCATCAGATCTTCCCTCCTGCTGGTCTGTGCCAGGTGAGGGGGCAGAAACTTCAATGGGCTCCACCCTTGGATAGTAGATGGGCCCTGGGGCCACCCAGGGTCCCAGGCAGCCACCCTGGCCATGAGCACCTACGGCTTACCCTGGCATGCAATGCAAATGTTATCCTCTGTGTGCGCCGTGGTTAGAAAATGTTTGTATGTTTCCGTGCCCTACAGGCCATTTTTGAAGTAAACCATGGTGACTAACATAACATAATTTAAAAAAAGTTATAAAAAATATATGTAAGACCTAATTTTAAATTAAAACACTGTTTCCAACAAGCTTGTTTTTTTTTAAAAGATTTATTTATTTCTTTATTTGAGAGGGAGAGAGGGCACACGGGAGAAGGAGGGGGGAGCAGAGGGAGAGAGAAAGAGAGAAAGACTCTCAAGCAGACTCCCTGCTGAACGCAGAGCCGGACGCAGGGCTCGATCTCAGGACCCTGAGATCATGCCCTGAGCCGAAATCAAGAGTCAGATGCTTAACCGCCTGAGCCACCAGGCGCCCCAAGAAGCTTATTATTTTTAAAACGCTTTGGACAAAACTTTTTGTTGTATACCAGCAGAGGTCAACGCTAATCACAGCGCACCCCTCGACACGACACTTGTCTCCTGCTGGCCCCCTCCCAAGGTACACACCTGGGTGGAGGAAAGGCAGGCCTCAGGTGTGGTGGGCAGCAAACATCCTCTCCATTAACTTGCCATATTCATTGGGACCAACAGCCAGGAATTGCCAAGAGAATTTGCCAAGGATTCATTCTAACGGCACCAGAAAGGTTCATTTACTGACTTCAAGACCAAGTCACAGGTAACGGCCAAGGGCTCTCAGTCTGAGCCACCTTCTTCAAAGCGACAGCCGGCGCTAATCCAGACACCACACCTACAACACACAGTACAGTCTGGCCTGGCAGTTCTTCCAGAATAAGGCCAAAACACACCTATTCCCTAACACCGGGCTTCAAACATTTTTAAAAAAATTTTTATTTTATTTCATTTTAATTATTTTTTTCAATTTTAATTAATCAATTAATTTTATTACTTGGTTGTTTACTTAATCTGTGCTATATAAAATCAAAACTGCCGTGAAAAGCAGTAAGTTTCTTACGTTACATGCTTTAGAATGACATCTTCATGCTGCCGTAACGTGGTGGTGAAGCTGTGTTGAGACACTATTATGCAGGAATGAGGACAAAGCCCGCGTCTACAGCTCCGCCCTGCCGTTCCTAGCTGACCTTCCAGCTACTTAACCTTCCTACATTTCAGTTTGCTAATCTGTGGATTCAGGGCTAATAATAATGTCTACGTCCCAAGGTTTCCTGAGGATTAAATGAGATCATCTATGGCAAAGCATTTAGTGCCAGGCCCACACCTAGCACGTGTCCAAAGGGTTGACTATTGTTAGCAGTGCCATGAGGTCGTGGCCTTGGAATGTTGGCAAGGCTGCTAGACACCAGCCTGGCCTCCCTCTGCTCCCAGCCGGATTCTCCCACTGCCCAGTGAAAAGCCCTCGGATACTGCAAGTCCATCAAGCCAAACCAAACCCCAGAAATGGTAAATTGGCTGCCGAACACCACACTCACAACGAGTTTCAAAGGCAAATATAAATTATCCCAGTAAATATTTGTGACTCGCTGTGCTCTGCATTGCCATTCACCTTCGAAAGCGTGACATCAAAAGTTATTCCCATATTATGACTGGAAAGGTGCATCAGAACAGTCACCACGCATTCAAGAGCTTATTGTCCCCAAACTCTAAATGGCTTCCTACCCCGGCTTCTCAAATGGCTATCAGCTACCTGGGGTTCCACCTCACATGCTGGCATCACCTCTGCCCAGCATGAGGGTGCTTTCTACTTGTTCCCCCAAAGTCTACCCCTATTCACTAATTCGATATTGCAGGCAGAGGGAGCTCCCAGCCAGGGCAAAGGCCCTGAGGCAGCAAGCAAAGGGGACAGGGGGCTGGGGTAGGCTTGATCGTCACTAAGGACCATCTGTTGACCTGGAGGGAGAGGGGAGCCCCTGGAGGGTTTTGAGCAGTGGAGTGACACAACAGACTCTTGTTTAACAGGATAAGCCAGGGACTCCCCTGGGAAGAGACCATCGAGAGCAGAAGGCCCGAGACCAGTGGCATGATTCTTGCAGTTCCCTGGACCTACAAGGGAAACAGGATGGTGGGAGGTGCCAGGGTTTTGGATATTCTCTGACAGATGGGACACCAGGAATGGAAGAAGACAGAGGTCCGAGTGACCCAGTGTTTGTGGCCCGAATAACCAGGACGAGGTGGCTGTGAGCTGAGCTGGGGAATCTGCTGTTCCTTCTGCCAGAAACTCCCTTCCCCACAGCGGCCCAGGCAAGCCCTGTTCCCCACTTAGATCTCAGCACCCTCAGGAGGGCTCCTTGGTCTCCATGCCACCTCAGCACACCCAGACTTCTACCCACATGAGAGCCTCACACTTGCCTCCCCTCGTGCGGGACCTCCTGTGTCCATGAGAGAAGGACCGTGTCACCATGCTTGTCACTGTGCAAACCACATGGGACCACTGCCTGGCTCAGAGTGAGCACACACCAAAAAGTGTCTGGCTAAACTCGTTAGGTCCCCTCATGGTGTTTCTTTTGGGTGAGTTTTCTTGAGCCACTTTACATCGTTTTCATTAGCCACTAAATGAGCATAAAGATGAAAAACTCATCACATCTAAAATGAAATCCACAGACTACCTTGCAAGATTTTACTCTACCTGCCTCAGGCGCTGAGCAGGTCCCCGCCGGCCAGGCCTACGGCTTTGGGTTCTTGGACCCATTGCCTCCCATGCCTTCACATCCTGCTGGCGTCTGCCACACTCCTGCCTCCTTCCCCATTTCCACTGCTTCCAGCCAGGCCACATCACCCTCACTTCTGCAGGACCAGTCACCTCCCTGCCTAAAAATCCGCATTCCTCAGGGGGCCAGCAGAGCACCCTGTCTGGTGCTCAGCCGTGTACAAGCCAATGGATGAGTGAACGGACCAAGGAATGCAGAGACACTGGCTGTGTCCCCGAAACCGTGCCGAGCACGTCTTCGTCGGCTCGGGCTGTTGGAACAGAGTACCACACACTGGGCGCTTACCCGGTAAACATTTGTTTCTCACAGTATGGGGGCTGGAAGCTGAGATCACAGAGCCAGCATGGCCGTGTTCTGGGGAGAGCCCGCCTTCAGGTGGCAGATGGCCAACTTCTTGCTAGGTCCTCATGGGACAAAGAGAGGGTGAGCTGGTCTCTTATAAGGGCACGAATCCCGCTCATGGCAGCTCCACTCTCATGACCTAATCATTTGCCAACCTCCTAACACCATCCCATTGGGATTAGGCTTCAACATATGGCTTTGGGGGGCACAAACATTCAGTCCACGCACGCCTCAAAGGGAGAAGGGAGAAGCTTCGGCCAGAGTGGCCCACTTTCTCCATTAATATGGGTGGCGTGGAAAAATGTTTCCTCTGGGGGAAAGGAGTGTTTGGAAATGTTTGAAAATAGTATTTTTCACCTCCTAAATGCCATGCTTATTTATTATTTCACGTATTCACTCAATTAACAAACACTTCCGATAACTCAATATTCCTAGGCTGTAGGGCTACAAAGATGAGCAAGACACACTCCTGGTTCTTAAGGAACTCAGTGACTGGGGACAGGGGTGAGAATTATAAACAGGTCTTTTCTTATCTTCCTGTGCAGAAAAGGTGGCAGGAACCTGCCCCATTGGTAGAAGGGGGCCGTAAAGGAGCACAAAGGTGGTGTGCTCACAAGCACCCAGGGTGCAGGGGGCCAAGGGGCCTTGGGAAGCCCCACAGAGGCAGGCAGTGGTATGCTTGGTAGGGTGCCCAGCAGTACCTGAGGACGAGGGACACTGAAGGGAAAGGGGGAGCAGGGGGGAGACCACCAGGAGCACAGGAGATAGGTTACACTAAGAAATAAATAAACTGATGGAACAAGCAAGTAAATATATGGAGGATGGAAAGAGCCAGGTTCTCAGCACTGGAGAATATACTTACAATGATGGAAAGGAGTAAGGGCAGAAAGCACTGGATATGTTGTATTGGAATTGGAAGTACTCGTATGATCTAATGGTTTTTAATACAGATACTCACAGATAGAGATGGAAAGAGTTATAGATGTGTGTGTTTGCAGTTACATATATTTTCTGTCTTTACCCACCAAGAAAGCCTAGAAGCAATGATCCCCAGTAGCAACGAGCATACTGAGCACACAGGTCCTGATTTCCAAACACCAAGCGC